TCCTCCTCCTCCTCCTCCTCCTCCTCCTCCTCTACCTTTTCCTCTTCCTCTTCTTCAGTCTGAGACAGGGTCTCACAATGCAGCTCAGGCTGGCCTTGAGCTCACTTTGTAGCCAGGCTGGGCTACAACTCACAGTGATCCTTTTGCCTCCTGAATGCTGGGATTGCAGGCACGCACCACCATGCCCAGTTTAACCCCAAGGCTTCTGCCTGAGGAGGGAACCGAGGTTCTATTTATCCTGCAGAGGTCGTGGGGCGTGGTCCTGGTGGGCGGAGCTTAACTTAGACCACGCCCCGTGACATGTGGGGTCTGGCATCTGGGTCCGAATAGAACAGGCAATGGGAAACCCCTGGAGGCCGGCCAGTCTCTTCAGCACTTGTGGAAATTGTGACGCTATCAGCAGTCACTGGTGGGGTCGGCTGCACACTACCATTTTGTTTTGGTTATGTGATGTTTGAGGCATACGATGCTGATTACAAAAACTGGCAAAGAACAAAAAAGGTGAGAAGCCTATTTATATGGATGTAGACACACCAACTCTTAAGCACAAAACAACTAATCTAACAGTATAGGCTGGGGAGATAGCTCAGCGGTCTAAGCGTCTGCCTGGCAAGCACAAAGACCTGGGTTCACATACCGGCCCTGAAACCGGGCATGTAATTCCAGAGCTGGGGAGGCTGAAACAAGAGGATCACTATGAGTCTGAGGCCATGTAAACCCTGTACTAAATACATAAAAATCAATTAATCAGTCAATCAATCAATAAATATAAAAAGCAGAGATCACTCTATGTCCAGGTTGGGGGGGGGCGGCTCTGTGTGTGTGTGTTACTGGGAATTGAACCCAGGGCCATTGCACATGCCAAATCCAGCCCCTTGATTTTATTTTTTGGGGGTTGTTTTGTCTTATCTTTGGAGATAGGGTCTCACTACATGGTTCAGGCTGCTGCCCTTGAACCCACTATGCAGGCTGGCTTTAAACTTGCAGTGCTCCTCCTGCCTCAGCTTCCCAAGTGCTGGGATTATAGGCATGTGTCACCACCCCTGAGCCATGCCAGTCCTTTTAAAATATATTTTTATTCTGAGACAGGGTCTTGCTAAGTTACCCAGGCTGTACTCCAACTTGAGCTCCTCCTGCTTCAGCCTCCTCCTGAGCAGCTGGGGTTACAGGCCTGGCCACAGCACCCAGCTGGGGAGGTGCACATTGAGATGATCAATCTATTACAGGTCAGGGTAGAGAAATAGCACTGAGGAATGTGCAGGGGACAAGGGAGCCTGCTGGGAGTTGGGGTCTGGGTCTGCAGAGTCCGGGACTGAAAGTTCAAAGGCCCGGGGACAGCACGGAATCTGAAGAATTGAGAGAGCACCGAGGAGGGTCCTGTGCTGCAGCAGAGGGAGTGGGACAGAGAGGGAGGCTGGAGTCCTTGGGGTGGACCCGCAGAGATTTGAGTACATGGGGAGGACTTTGTCTTTTACCCAGGAAGTAGATTTTATCAGAGGGCATTAATGACTTGTGGGTAATCATTAATAAGCCCTGCCCTATGTCCCTGGTCTCCAGCTGTTGCTTCCTTGCCAGGCAGGTCTGAAGAATGAGATTTCCACCATGGCCCCTTGGAGAGGATGGGGAGCAGGCTTGTTCTGCACCCCTTACCTTTGCCCTGAAAGTGGCATCCACCTGTGATTCCAGTTGCTCGGGAGGCTGAGGCAGGAGGATCATAAGTTTGAGGTCAGCTCTTTTTGCCACATCTCCCACAAGAATGAAGACCATTCTTAGCAATCAGACAGTCGACATTCCAGAAAATGGCGACATCACTCTGAAAGGACACACAGTTATTGTGAAGGGCCTCAGAGGAACCCTCCAGAGAGATTTCAACCACATTAATGTGGAACTCAGTTTCCTTGGGAAGAAAAAGAAGAGGCTCCAGGTTGACAAATGGCAGGGAAACAGAAAGGAGTTGGCGACTATCTGCACGATCTGTAGCCATGTGCAGAACATGATCAAGGGGGTCACGCTGGGCTTCCGTTACAAGATGAGGTCTGTGTGTGCTCACTTCCCCATCAACATCGTTATTCAGGAGAATGGGTCTCTTGTCGAAATCCAGAATTTCTTGGGTGAAAAATACATTCGCCATGTTCGTATGAGGGCAAGTGTTGCTTGCTCAGTATCTCAAGCCCAGAAAGATGAGCAAATCCTTGAAGGAAATGACATTGAGCTTGTTTCAAATTCAGTCGTTTTGATTCAGCAAGCCACAACAGTCAAAAACAAGGATATCAGAAAATTTTTGGGTGGTATCTATGTTTCTGAAAAGTGATTCTTTTTTCTTTTTGGTGGGGGACTGGGAATTGAATCCAGGGCCTTCCCAATGAGCTACAACCCCAGAAGTTTTTAGTGGGTTTTTTGTTTGTTTGGTTGGTTTTGAGGCAGGGTCTCACTAAGTTGCTGAGTTGGGCTCCAACTGGAGATGCTCCTGTCTCAGCTTTCCAGAGCCCTGGGTTGAAGACATTTCCACTCTGAGTGAGTGGCCCGCCTGCCCTGCTGGGAACCCTCAGCCATGAGGTAGCTGCTGGGGAGTGGGGCATCCCTGGGCCAGGCACCTGGAGCTTGGATAGACCCTGCTGCATCCAAGAGACAAGAGGTTAGGGATTAGGATCAGCCCCATGCAGGTAACAGGGTTTGTGCTTGCTGTGAAAAACAACAATAATAATACAAATTTTTAAATCTTATATGTTTGCCATTGTAATGAGCAACTGGAATTCTGCAATACTGCTAATATAAAATACTCTCTGATTGAGCATGTTGGCACATGCCTGTCATTTCAGCTGCTTGGGGAGCTGAGGCAGAAGGATCACAAGTTTGAGCCCAACCTGGGCAACATGGTGGTGACTTAGGGCAAACCTGTCTGAAAACAAACACTAAAAGAGGATTGTGGGGGTTTTTGCCTTGCATGTGGGTGGCCCTGGGCTCCATCACCAGCCAATGTTACGTGAGTGGCAGAGGAGGCTGTGCAGTTTGGAAGTGAAGTTGAGCAGTCCCTGTCTGTGTGGCCTGAGACATCTGTCCCTGCACTGCTGGTATGGGGACGGCTGCGTTGTGGTTCATGCACCCCGTTCTGTGGCAAGGAAGCAGGCCACCATGCGGGGTCTAAGTCAGAGTGGACCCAGTGTGTGACCTTCCAAGTGTCATGTGGGGTTTCCTGGCATGGTGTCGCATTTCCTGCACCTGGAACAGAGGGGAGGGCACAGCCTTGGGTACCCGAAAGGGAGGGAGAGCAATGATAGTTCAGGGAGGCCTGACGAGGGACGGTGACCTCAGCCTGGTCTAAGGATGGCATTTGCAGGGCAGGGCTGCCTACAGGGGAAGGGCCGAGCCAGCTACACTGGTTCATCAAATTATTTCACCGCCAGGGGGCGTACAATCACTGCTCATTCCCCCAAAACCCTGCTTCAACTTTCTAGGAGTGTGGGGGTCCTGAGTTGTCCCCTTGCGGCCAGCTGGGTTGGGTCACCGAGGATTCTTTTTTTTTTTTTTTTTTTTTTTTTTTTTTTTTTTTAATTTTATTTATTTATGTGTGTGTGTGTGTGTGTGTGTGTGTGGCCAGCTCAGCCCACCAGGGGGTGGGGCCGGCTGGCATGTGGTGCTGGGGATTGAACCGCGGTCCCTGTGCTCTGCAAAGCTTGCTCTAAGTAGGTGCTTTAGACCACTGAGCCATCTCACCAGCCCTCACCGAGTATTCTTACATAAAGGAAGGAGGGAACCATTGTTCTCCCAGGCCAGGCTTGCCTGGGTTATCTCGGGAACTACTGTGTGTAGGTGCTCAATAAACGCTAGGTCAAGGTTTGCACGAGGGTGGAAGAGGCTAGGGAAGTGTGGCTGAGGGGCGTACTCACCCGCAGCTAGTGAAACAGACCCACAGAGGAGCAGAGGCCAGTCCAGTGACCGTTTCCCTTAGCCCTTCACTCCTGCTGGTTGATTTTAGGAGGAGGCAGCCGGGGTCAGCGGCCACAATGAACCTTGTAGAGGAACCCAGGGCACTCAGGTGATCTGCTGATCCCAGGTGCCTTGGGATTGCCACTAATCACTGTCTCAAATGACAGCACGACCACTCCAACAGGGTTGAGGAGACAGAGGGGAGGCCCTGTGGCACTCTACAGATGAGGACTCCCTGGGCTAGTCCTTGACGCCCCACAGCCACCTGCTGTGTTTCCTGTCCTCGCCTCACACAGGGTGGGAGCTGCTAGGAAAGGGTGGGGTCCTGTGTGAAGGTATATGGGCTTCGGTAGCATGGCTGTGGCTGAATCTACCAGGTTGTCCCCAAGTGTGGCTGAGTATGTGATTGGGGTGCTCTTGTTTGGTTTGGTTTTGGTTTGACTTGGTTTTTTTTTTTAATTTTTATTTATTTGTATGTGTGTGTGTATGTGTGTGTGTGTGTGTGTGTGTGTGTGTGGCCAGCTCAGTCCACCAGGGGGCGGGGCTGGCTGGCATGTGGTGCTGGAGGATTGAACCGTGGTCCCTGTGCTTTGCTAAGCTTGTTCTAAGTAGGTGCTTTAGACCACTGAGCCATCTCACCAGCCCTGACTTGGTTTTTTGAGATAGGGCCTCACTATGTAGCCCAGGCTGGCCTTGAATTTGTGGCGATCTTCCTGCCTCAGCTTCCTGAGTGCTCGGATTATAAGCATGCACCACTACACCTGGCTTTTCAAGTGCTTGTAAAGATTAATTAAATAGGAATAAACACAGTGATGGGAGCAATCTGTTGACTGGGAGAAACCCAGCCAGGATAAGGTTTGAACTTTCGAGTCACCAAATCAAGGGGGGAAATCAGTAATCGATAGTGCCTGGTTACATATGCCTTCAAAGGGATATTCCTGTTGGTATCTCTAAATACACTTGGCTGCATTGTGAGTAGCAAAGAGAAAACAGGATTAACGCAGTGTCAGGTAGTTAAGCACAGAACTTTGTGGTATCCAGGGGAAAGGGGGAAATACATTATGTCACCTTGTCAGGCACGTTTCCCTCTGGGACATGCTTGTCTATATTTCTAACCATGGGACCGTGATGCAAAATGAATGAAAGAAGACACAGAAATTCTGAGTGTAGAATAGCTATGAGCTTTCTGGCATCCAAGGTGAGAGGGGAAGTAAGAGTCGGAGTCTTCTCAGTCTCAGTGTACCCTCTGCAGTGCCTGCCTGCTCACGACAGTGAATCCAACTGTATGCAGAGGTGTCCACCTGGGACATGGAATCACATAGTCGGAAATGGAAGATGCTTCTGAGCTTCCTGGACACCAGGGTGAGAGGAGAAATATGCTAAGTTTGAGCCTGGGCAGGTGTATCTTGCAGTGTGTGTTGAAGGCCACCCCCAGGCATTCAGACAGGGCAGCGCCTGGAGGCCAGACGTGCCCGGCTGTCTTCTGCAGGGCTCCAGGGCCGGGCATAGCCAGCGTGGGGCAGCAATAGCCGGTCCTGGGTGCCGTCTGGGCTGACGAGGCGTCGGACAGCCAGCAAGTACTCCCGATGTGGAGCCAGCGGTGGGCAGGGGCAGCGGCCAGGCGCCCATACATACTCGCGCATCCGCAGTGGTGAGCGGTTCTTATAAATGAGCAGGATTCGCACCTCATAGCGGGTCTCATGGGCCTGGCGGTGGCTGCCCAGCACGCGGGCCTGGAACACTGGAGGTGAGGTGTGTGCTGAGGTTGCTGGGGACCTCATGCTGTACCCATCACACCAGCCATTGCCAGAAGAGGTGGGAACTCAGAAAGCTGGGAGTAGGGAGGGAGGGTGTGCACCTGTCATCTCAGCACTTGGGAGGCTGCTGCAGGAGGATCCCTGCCAGTTTGAGGCCAGTTGGGGCTACAAAGTGAGTTCAAGACCAGCCTGAGCTACATTAGGGGGTCCCTTCTTACCGCCTCTCCAAATGGCCCTAGGAATGGGTTCTCACCGAAGTCGCTTCCGCAGTAATGTAGCAGGCGGTGTGCGCGACCACGTGTGTCAGGGCAGGGTGGGCAGGGGTCTGTGAGGGGGCAGTGTTGTGAGGGGCACAGCTCTCGCCCCTGCCCGCCCCACCCAGGCGTGTGCACCTCACCTGGGGCCCGGGTTGGATCACGGGTCATGGGGCTTGGTTCAAGGAGCTGAGGGGGTTGAGGCTCCACCTCACGGGGCTGCGGCTGCCGTAGCGCCCAGCCCAGCACCTGCGCCTGCGCCTGGAAAAGGCCGTAGCGCTCTCGAGGAAGCCAGAACTCAAACTGCACGCCGGGGTTGGGCTCCAGCAGGAGGACCTAGAAGAAGGGTTCCGGGAGCTGCGCCCTACCCACCGACCCAGCTCCCCACTCAGACCCTCCGTCCCTGTCTCCCCGTCGTCTCCCCTTCAGAGGCTCGTGCATACTTGCAGGACTAGGTCTTGCGTGGTGGGCCCGGCCGCGTGCAGCGTCTCCTCCGGCCCCGCAGCGCGAGTGTAAACCACCTGGGTGCCCGCAGCCTCATAGGTGCCCGGGGGGCTCACTGCCCAATGCCCATTGAAAATGTAGCGCCCATCACTGCCCATTAGCGCTGCAAAGGAAGGTCCAGTCGGGATCCCTGGAACCTGCCCACTGCCCTCCTGGCGCCGGGTACCCTCCCCTGCCTCAGTCTCCCCAGTTATGAAGGAGAGGCCACCACCAGCAGGCACCCCCCAACCCTCTGTTACCCAGGTGGTTCCGGCTCCGCTGCACCACGCGAATGTGTCTGGCGCCCATGGGAATCAGAGTAACGTTCCAGTACCCGGAGAAGGCACCTGAGTGGGAGGGTAAGGTGTAGGGTTGGCGGCAGGTGTGTGTGAGTGGTGATTTGAGGATTAAAATGTTGCGGGAAGGGAATTAGTGTACTGGTAACTCAGAAAAACGCACGGGAATGTTTGGAGTTACATGGATCGCTAACGTGCGGCAGGGAAAGCGTTAAAACCCCATCTGAAAAAAACCCCATCTGTGGGGGGGGAGACAATCTGCTAGTGACCAATCAGAATGAAGGGCCAGAGGGGATGGGCCGCAGATTGCCCAATCAGCACAGGACTTCGCTTCAGGGTCCGAGGCTAGTTAAAGACCCCGCTCCAGATGTACGTGTAGGGAGGACGGGGAGGGCGGTCACCAGCGTCACGGAACACGCGCTGCACGAAGAGACATGTGTCATTGGCACCTCCGCAGCGTCCACACCGGTCTTCGAGGGCGCCGGAACCCAGCACCCCATCACAGCCGGCGCTCTGCAGGAGTAGTGAACACTCACGAAATCACAGTTTGGGGAGGGGCGGGGACTGGCAAATGGGTGGAGCCTGAAGGCAAGAGTCTGGAGCGGGGTGGAACTTGGGAGTGGGTCCTGAATGGGCGGGGCCTGGAAGCAAAAGGGAGCTAGAGAGAGACCCGAGCCTAGAGAGCGTGGAGCTTGACAGAGGCGGGGCCTGGAGGCGGGTCTGAGTAAAAGACTGGGCCCTGGAGGGAGGAGGCTGGGATGCAGCTCAGAGGGTGTCTGGAGTGGAAGCTGGAAGCCTGACGGTACAGGTCATATCAGTAAGGACCTAGGGATGGGGACGAGAGTTAAAGGGAACAACTGGAAAAGGACGCTGGAGGTGGAGCCTGGTGGTATGGCCCATTGGGGGCGGGGCCTCCTGCAGGTGGGCGGGGCCTGATGAATGGGGCGGGCCCCGGAGGAAGGAGGCTGGGTGGAGTCTGGCGGGACTGGGGCCTTGAGGCGGAGTCTGGATGAGAAAGAAGGAGGCTGAAATAAGTGATGAGGACCTAGGGATGGGGCTTGATAGTTAAGAGTCGCCCCTGGAGGGATTGGGACTGAAGCCTAGGGAGGAGTGAAACCTAGAGAAAGATGGGATGGGTCCCGGAGGGAGGAAGGTGGGTTGGAGTTTAGGGAGAGGTGGAACCCGGGAAGGAGGAGTGGCTGAAAGGAGGGGCGTAGAGGCTATGCTGGGCCTTGGCTGGGGGCAGGGGTAGGGTGCGGCTAGGGGGGGCTGGGCAAATCTCACCAGGCAGCGGCCAGCCACACAGAGGCCCTGGGCTCCGGGGCTGCAGGGTGTGCCATCCAGGACGCGGCCAAAGCTGTGGTAGAAGGCTTGCCCCTCGGCCAGGCAGTTGAGGTCACACTGATTGGGCGCTACACACAGGCAGAGGGAGCAGTGTAGGCTCTGTCAGAGCTCAGCCCACTTAAGCTGTAAGGGGTAGCCATTCCCTGGAGCAGATGGAACTCTGGCTTTGAGCCAACGCCTGTCATCAAAACTGATTCTTCTTATGAACTTCCATACCTCTTCCTTCTCGCATTCATTCTACACACTCACTGAAGTCACTATTTTTTCTTCCTCCCCACAGTACTGAGGATGAAACTCAGGACCTTGGCTCTGAGCGCAGTTCCCAGCTTTTTTTCATTTGTCTTTGAGACAGTACCTCACTCGGTCACTACGTTGGCCAAGCTGGGCTTAAACTAAACTTGCAGTCCTCCTGCCTCAGCCTCCCAGAGCGCTGGCTTTAAGCACCCACGATTTCCTAGATGTGATCGAGTGCCCCGGCTTGCAGCACCAGACTGAACTCACTCAGTTCTGGTGCCTGTGCGCAGCAGGGGCTCAATTAAAAAAGTGTTCAGTTGGGCTGGTGAGATGGCTCAGTGGTCTAAAAGCACCTACCTAGAACAAGCTAAGCAAAACACGGACCACAGTTCAATCCCCCAGCACCAAATGCCAGCCAGCCCCGCCCCCTGGTGGGCTGAGCTGGCCACACACACACACACACACACACACATAAATAAATAAATAAATTTTTTAAAAAAAGTGTTCAGTAGGAGCCAGGCATGATGGTGCACACCTGTGGCACTTGGGAGGCTGAGGCAGGAGGATTACCGGGAGTTCAAGTCCAGCCTGGGCCACATTGTGAGTTCAAGGCTAGACTGAACTAATAGCGAGATCATGTCTCCCCCCTCGAAAAAAGTGTCCAGTATGAGGGGTTGGGGAGATGGCTCAGTAGAGTAAGTGCTTTCCTGGCAAGCACAAGGGCCCGAGTTCAATCCCTGGTTCTCCACCCCCCCAAAAAAAGTGTCCAGTATGGAGTCCCGTGGGCCTCACTTTCCCCTTGTGCTTTGCCATCGGATCACGCCCACAGGCGGAAAGCACTGAGCCCTGTCCTGGACCCCTGGCTCTCTGCACAGTCTGGCTGGCAGACCACATGTGGAACAGAGCCGAACTGGTCCTGAGGGGCCTCTGTGAGTTACCGCAGGGAGAGAAAAAGCAAAGGAGTGAAACTGCAAGGCTGAAGAGTTTTTCTTTTCTCTTTTTTGCCACTCCAGGCTCTTATCTGCATGCCTTCACGGTGCTGTGGGGACTGAGGCTGCCTGTCTTCCTAAAATCTGGAGGCGCACTGCCCGGGGCACACAGTTATATAACTCGCTATTTTCAGCTCCATGCAGCAACATTTCCTGTTCCTGGCATAAGTTTGAGCACCATGGCCCTCTAGACAGTAATCCTCAGCCTGGGGTTTGATCCTATGTAGAATGGACCCTGCTTCCTTTTGCCACTGCTTTTTTTTTTTTTTTTTTTTTTTTGAACCCGGGATTGAACTCAGGCCCTTGGGTTTGCCAGGAAGCACTTATTCTGCTGAGCCATCTCCCTGGCTCCATGCCACTGTTTAATGTGACACTTCAACAACTCCTACATATCCTTCAAAGCCCTGGGGTTAATGCCCCTACTCTGTGCCCCTACTCCAAGTCTTTCTCTTCTCCCTGCCAGAAATGGGTTGTTCATTCTGGATCACTGCAGGCCCACTACTCACCTCCATGGAAGGGTACCCATTGGTAGGTTTCCTGGGTTCCCAGGACAGGGCGGCCATTATAGAGGGCACACTGAAGGTCTCGGAAGGGCAGAGCCCCTGGTGAGCAGTCCTGAGGGCAGAGATAGGTGGGTGACCCCCCTCCCCCAAGCCCAGCAAACCAGTGGCAGTGTGGTGGGCATGCTTGGTGCCACAGGCAGGAGGGCCTACCCGCCAACTCAGGGAAGGGGCGGGGCTTACGGGCAGCTGGCAGAGGCGGTACTCGTGGCTGTCTCCCGAGCATGGCTCTTCTCCTGGAAACCTGACGGGAACCGAGCAGCTTGAGTGTGGTCGGAACCCCCAGGGACCCCATCCCAGCACTGCCCGGTCCACCCTCCGCCCCCACAGCCCCACCCGCATTCCAACTGTATCCCTGGGATTAAAGGGCATAGCCTATGTGGGCGGGCTAGGGGGCGTGGTCAGGACTGGGCGTGGCCAGTGGGGGCGGGGCTGTAACTCTGGTCCCGCCCACCGACCCCCCCACCCGCTCTACCAACCACTTCCTCACTGGATGCAACGGCGGCTGCGCACTGAGACGCCCCGTCCGCAAGAGCTGGAGCAGCGGGTCCAGGACCCCCACGGAGTCCACTCTCCAGGACCCTACTTGGGGAGAGAGAGGCGGGTCGGCCTGGAGGGGAGCTGGTGACTCCGCACCGCCGGCCGCGTCCATTCCCTCTGGCCCCCTTACCTGAACACTGCCCCCCACGCTGCAGCTCAGAAGGGTCCATAGCAAGAAGAGGAGATTCTGCAGGGGGCGGGGTCTGGGGTAGCAGAGGAGGCCCACGCAGCTGGCACCCGCAGGACAGGGGCTGAACCCCATCTCTGCCCTAGCTGGCTGTGTGATTTTGGCAAGTAACTAACCAAACCTGTCTAAGCCCTTCTTCTCTCTGGAAAAAAATAAGAAAGAAGTAATCCTAGGACTCCTCTTACAGGAAATTCTGGGGGTTGGTTGGATCAGAAGAGGCATAGATAACAGAGCATTCAAAACTTCATCTGTATTTTTAAATTATTATTATTATTATTATTATTATTATTATTATTATTTTGTACCAAGGACTGAACTCAGGACCCTGTGCTTGCCAGGCAGGCACTTAAGCCTGCTGAGCTATCTCCCAGGTAAAAAACTTCATCTGAACCAGGCCTGGAGGTGCAGGTCTGTAATCCCAGCACTCTAGGAGGCTAAGCCAGGAGGATCCTGTGTTTGAGTCTAGCCTAGGCAATTTAGTGACTTGGGGGGGGGGGAAATGAAAAGAAAGAAAAACATAAAAAGAGAAAGAAAGAAAAAGATTGGGAGTGTGGTTTTGTGTGAAGGTCCTGGCTTCAGTACCCCAGGTCACAACACCTGTGTGTACACACACATTCCCCACCCACACCCACATCATTGTTATTGCTATTGGTTATGCATTAGAATATGGTGCCCAGGGGCTGGCGAGATGGCTCAGTGGTCTAAAGCACCTACATGGAACAAGTTTGGCAAAGCACAGGGACCACGGTTCAATCCCCCAGCACCACATGCCAGCCAGCCCCGCCCCCTGGAGGGCTGAGCTGGCCACACACACACACAATAAATAAATAAATGTTAAAAAAATTATATATATATAAAAAAAAGAATATGGTGCCCATAGTAGGTGCTTAATCAATGTCTGATGATAGAAGGATTATTCAGGGCTCCAAGGGTCAAGGACCCCTCACCGTTTTCCAGGTCCTCATTGCTTCTAACTTCCTGTGTGGCCAGAGGCTGGCCACTCTGCTTCCCCAGGCCTCAGTTTCCCCATCTGTGCAGCTGGGATCAGTCCATGATTCTATGAGACCCTGCAGGTGGTATGGCCATGGGGACTGGGTCAGGAGCTGGCTCCCTGATGGGGCCCCTTGCAGCTTTGCCCCAGCTTCTTGGTCCCCAGACCCTCCTGGCAGCAGGGAATCCCCAATCAGGGCACAGCAGGGAGGGGTGATCTGGCTCGGGTCCAGCTGGCGCCTCCTGGCCTCATCCGCAGGGGTGTGGCGCACAGCCAGGGCGTCTGTCTGCTGGGGAGAAGGGAGGGGGGGCTAATTGGGGGCCTGAGTTTCTCCATCTGTCAGGAGAGGGAAGATGTCACTTGCCACACACACTGTCCCTGCAGTCATTGCCTGTGGCACAGAGGGTGACCAGGCAACCAGCTGCCTAACCAGCAGGGAGGACAGACACAATCCCCTGGCAATTTTCCAGGCCTGAGCACAAAGTGGGGAGCAGGCCAGAGCCCACCTAGATGCACAGCTCTTCTGAGCCTCAGTTTCCCCAGCTCTTAGCCCATCTGACTCTAACATTCTGACCTCTGTGCACCCCGGGGTCAGGGGTGGCTTCAGAGAGAGAACGTGGGGCCCTCACAGTGAGTCCAAGGAATAGGCCTGGACTTTCCATCTGTGACCACAGTTTACACCTCCGCCCCTCAGAGCCCCAGGAAGCAGGAAGACAACCAAATTTTGAACTGGAGGGAGGAGAGGCACTTGAACTTCAGACAGAACCCCAAAGGGACGCCAGGCTAGGGGTCTGGGTGATGGAAAATGGGGAACTACATCCCCTCCCCACTGCTCTGAACACCCAGCTTCCCCAAGCTGGAGGGGGTGGCCATGCCTGTCATCCTAGCACTCTGAAAGGCTGAGGCAGGAGGATCCCTCGTTCCAGCCAGCCTGGTAATTTACAGACTTAGTGAAACCCTGTAGGGGGCGGGGAAAAAATATATATATATATATATATTTTTTTTTAAAGAGCAGGGATGTGGCTCACTGTGAAGGTCCAGGATTCAATCCTAGCACGGCAAAAAGAAAATATACTCCCCAAAGGAACAAGGCACCCTGTGACTGGCATAGCTATCTCAGGGCCAGTCATCCTCAGGCCTCAGTTTCCCCCGGAGGAAGTGGGAACATGGAGCTCACTCCTACCCTAGGGGTGGACCCCGTGTCACCACAGGGGCAGGTGCATGGATAGGACTTACCGTCTGCGCTACGGGTAGGCTCCCTGCTCCGGGTGTCCCAGACTAGCGGAAGCAGAGGAACGCAGGGCGCGCTGTGGAGGGTAGTGGCCCCCGTGCGCCCCCACGCGGCGTCCCAGTCTGTGGGTGCTGGTGACCTTGGAACTGGGCGCCAGCACCCGCCACCCCAGGCTGCTATTCCGAGCGCAGCGCTCAGGGCCCGGGAATGTGCGCGACTCAGGTCGCCACGCCCCAGGTCGGCGCGTCCCCGAAGTTGAAGTCGGGATGGCGCTTCCACTGGGGTCCTCGTCCCCGGTCGTCCCACTCCCGCTGCCCGCTGGGCTGTCCTGGATGGTAAAGACACCCCCGTACGTCTGGACTCCCCAGGATTTCAGGGCTTCCCGCCTCCGTCTGCGCAACCCCCTACCGGGGCCCCGAGCACTGGGGAGCGGCTGCGCCCCGGGCTGGCGGGCGCGCGGGGTGGGGTGGGGGGAGAGGAGAGACCCTCCCAGCCGCATTCCCGGGCGCTGCTGTCACTGGGACGCGCCCCACCCCGCCTCCACCCGCCCTGCCCCGCCGCCTGCCCGCCAGACCAGGTCCTGAGAGTCCTCACCTCACGGCCCCCATCTTCTCCGACCTCAGTTTCCCCATCTGCGTAATGGAGCCCGCAGGGATCCCTGCTGCAAAACTTCCAGCTGCTCTTCGCCGTTTTGCAGACTCCTAGTGACCGGAAACATGCGACAACCAGCCTCTGACCACCCCACCCCACCCCGTCCAAGCCCAAGTCTGAGCCTGGCCCCAGCCCACTCAGGGACTAGGTTGGCGCAGGGTGGGCCCACTGCTTCTGGCTGCTGCGGCCCTTGGGCGACCCTAGGAGTGGCACTGAGGGGGAGGTGAGTGCAGTGCCCTTTAGCCTCCTAGGCTCCGCCCGCCTGCCCTCTGCTTCAAGAAGACACCATGAGCCCTGCTTGGCGGCACACACTTGGCATCCCACAGCTCTGAGAAAGGAAGCAGGACAATCCCAAATTCAAGCCAGCCCGGGCAATTCAGTGATTCAGCAGCGCCTTATCTCAAACAAGAAAAGGGGGAGATAGAGCTTGGCAGAAAGGCCTGGGGTTCAGTCTGAAATAGAGGGGAGAAAACAAACAGAGAGGGTAGACAGGGAGGACCTACCCAGCCTGGGCTCAGGAAAGGGGCCCCCTGAGGTGGCTGACCACTCTCTGTTCACCTGCAAGTAGGAAGCCTCTCAGAGCAGCGTGACCCTGGAGTGTATCACCCCACTATCACCCCACTTCCTGCTCAGGGCAGAGGTGAGGGAGGCTCTCACTGTGGAGGTGACTGTCACAAAGGTCGCAAGGCTGGGTGGCCTAACTCAGAAACTGCACATGCAGAACCTGGGATGCTGGAGTCAGAGGCTGTGGGGAGGGCCTGGGGCGGGGGGAGATGCAGGATGAGACCAGGTGGGATGGGGAGGGGCTTAAGCCAGCAGGGAGTGTCTTCTGCCTGGGCTGTAGTGAATGCCACCACCAGGTGCTGATGGGGTAGGACAGGGATGAGGAGAGGAAATGGGAACAGCAAGGACAGAAACCCCTTATTGGGCACCAACTGTATACAGGCTGGGGTCTGGGAGGCATTAGGAATAATGAGGCTTGGGCTTTGTCAAGTGAGCAGCCATATCTCCCCCAGATGCACCCCTTTCTGCAGGTCTAGGCCACTGCATATAGCAGAAATGTGCACTGTTGCTGTGTGCACAGCTGGTACTTTGTATTGCCAGATGTGCACACAGTAGGTGCTATCTATTGTAATCTATGCAGATAATAAACTTGTACCTTGTAAGGTGTGCACACAGTAGGTGCTGTGACTCAAAGAGAAGGCATACAGCAAGCAGTATACATTGTAGGTGTGTACACATCAGGTGCTGTACTTTGCAGATGTGCATACAGCAGGCGCTGTACACTGTAAGGTGAGCATAGAGTAGGTCCTGTGCATTTGTAAGGTGGGCAACACAATAGGTGCTTGTCCCAAAGGGAAGCCATCCAGCAGGTGCTGTGCATTGCAGTGTAGTGTGTGCAGCTGGCATTGTGTCTGGGGATACATACAGTCATACCTGGACACTCAACAACTTTGAAACTCAGCTCAATTTGGTTCTGGACACATTTTGATGAGAACATTTTGTCCGATACCCATTGTGTGGTATTCATTGTGCAAGCTAGAACTTGTTGGTGTCAGTTGCCTTGTGACTCACTACCCCCTCCAGCCAGAACAACTAAGGACAAGTACCGTCCTTAGTACAGCACTGTATAGAGCAGGCGCTGCAGTCTGCAGGGAGTGGATGCAGCAGGCACTGCAGCCGGAGCACAGGCGATGCATTCGGCGGGCTCTGGGGCAAGCAGAAAGAGGATACAGCCATGACTGGGCCTGCAGTGAACACAGACTGCAAGCGCAGCCATCTGTTGGGGGGGGGAACTAGTGCTATGGGGCCGGCATGCGGGTGAGTGTGGGGCTGCACCCTCCTCCCTACTCGCTCTGCTTCTCAGCCCTGGTTCCCCCAGCTGGATGCATGATCCCCACTGCCCAGGAGGGGAAGAAGCTGAAGGCCAGCCTCACACACCTGATGCCAGCGGAGGGGTGGCTGCTGGGGTTCCGCCCTACCCTTGTCTGCACCCCAGCCCAGGGCTCAGCCAGGGCCCGTCACCCTGAGCCCCACCCCACCCCAGCTGGTCAGGATCCAGTGGAGGATGGGTGACCCAGCAGTGTGACTCAGCCAGCTATGGTGCCTCTGTGTCTAACGGCCTTGGCGCTTAAGAACGACTTGCCTAGGCCGGTCTGGTGACCAGTGTCTATCATCCCAGCACTCAGGAGGCTGAGGCAGGAGGACCAACAGTGAGTTCAAGGCCAGCATGGGCTGCATACTGAGTTTAAGATCAACCTGAACTGCAGAGCAAGACCCTGTCTCAAAAAATCAACCAGGGCTGGGAAGGTAGCTCAGTGGTCTAACCATCTGCCTGGCAAGCGCAAGGACCCAGATTGGATCCCTAGTACCACATGCCATGCCAACTCCCAGAACCTTGGGTGCACCCTGCTGGCTACAGAAACCAGGCGTGGTGGTGCATGCCTGTAATCACAGCTCTGGGGAGGCTGAGACAGGAAAATCACTATGAGTCCAAGCTGCACAGCAAGACCCTGTACTAAATAAATAAAAAATTCAAAACAAAACAAAAAATCAACCAATCAAAAAGCAAGACAAAACAAATTAAAAAGAGCATGGTACCTAGTGGACCAGCCTGGTGCAGTGGTGCACATCTGTCATCCCAGCTGCTTGGGATGCTGAGGCAGGAGAACTGCCAAATTGCAGGATGATTGCAACTTAGTGGGACTCTCTCCCAAAATAAAAAAATAAAGAGGGCCGGAGAGATAGCTCGGTAGAGTAAGTGCTTGCCTGGCAAGTGCAAGGGCCTGAGTTCAATCCCCGGTTCTGAAAAAATAAATAAATAAATAAATAAATAAATAAATAAATAAATAAATAGATTTGGAGGTGGGTTGAGTAGTGAGAACTTGTCTAGACTGTGTAAGGCCCTGGGTCCCAGCCCTAATACAGCAAACAAAACAAATATTGTGTCATAGTTGACATCACAGTGCTGTGCCCTTCAGAATTTGTCCACAGGGCCAGCCTAGGCAACACGGCAAGACGCTGACTCCAGAACAAATGACCAACTAATAAATATCTGAGGGCCGGGGAGATAGTGCAGTGATCTCAGTGCCTGCCTGGCAAGCTCAAGGACCTGGCTTCGATCCCTGGTACTGCATGCCTTGCCAGCCCCGCGCTGAGCCGGCCGCTGAAACCAGGCATGGTGGCACATGCCTGGTTCCTGTGATCCCAGCACTAGGGAGGCTGAGACAGGAGGATCACTAGGAGTCTGAGCTGTGTAACAAGACCCTGGACTGACTGACTAAATAAATAAATAAATAAATATTTTTTTTTCTTTTTTGTTTCTTTTTGTGTTGTGTTTCTGTAGTGTTGTGGATGAACCTAGAGCCTGGTGCACCTTAGGCAAGTGCTCCCCACTAAGTTACACCCCTGGACCAATTAAGCTGTGGTTAGCTGTAAATCAAATTTAGTTGGTAATGGTGACACATGCCTATAATTCCAGCAATGTGGGAGGCTGAGGCAGGGCGGCTGCAGGTTTGATTCCTATTCAGGCAACTAAGTGGACCTTGCCTCAAAATAAAAATAAAGAAATAAAAAGAGCTGGGGAGCTTTGCAGATGCCATTATCCCCTCCCCTTTAGTCATTTGCTACCAACCATGATCAACCCCACCTTGTTCTTGAAATATGGTGAGCCCTTGCACCGCATCGCCTTCAAGCTCTGCGCAGACGAAGTTCCAAAGGCCGCAGAAAACTTTTCGGCTCTGAGCACCGGAAAGAAAGGATTTGGTTATAAGGGTTCTTGCTTTCACAGAATTATTCCAGGATTTATGTGTCAGGGTGGTGATTTGCCAAACCACATGTCTATCTGGGGGCAGAAATTCGATGACGAGAACTTCATGCTGAAGCATACAGGTTCTGGCATCTCGTCCCCGGCAAACGCTGGGCCTGACACAGACGGTCCCCGGTGTTTTATCTTTGCTACCCGGACCCAGTGGCTGCACGGCCATGAAGTGGTCTTTGGTGGAGGCGGGGGAGCGCCTCGGGTCTAGGAACAGCAAGGTCAGCACGAGGGTCACCACTGCCGACGCGTGTGACTTGTGTGAATTGCCACCACAAGACCAGAGCCTTCTGGGAGCTCAGGAGAGCACCCTGCGCCCCACCTGCTCAAAGCTCTTCCCTCAGCTCTTTGGGTTCCATGTTTTCTTTGCCCCTGTCCGAATGTAGCTGGATCACAGAGTTAAGTTTATGGTTACGAATAAAGAGCGAAGGTCTAAAAAAAAAAAAAAGAGCTGGGATGTAGCTCAGAAGGAAGGCCCTGGGTTTCAAACTCAGTACCACAGAAAAATAATTAATTAAAAATGTTCAAATGAGACTGGGCATGGTGGCGAATGCCTGTAATCCCAGCGCTCAGGAGGCTGAAAACAGGAGGATCATTATGAGTCCATTCTGTGTAGTGAGACCCTGTACTGAAATACAAAAAAAAAAAAAAAAAGTTCAAATGCCCCCAGAAGATCTGTGGCCTCTCTGTGGCCTCTCAGTGGCATTTGCCCCTACAACTCACCACTGTCTCCCATAATCCTTTGGGTTTGGCTACCAGGTCCCCATTTTACAGCATGGGCAGTCCAGGAATGGTGACCCAATACATCCAGGACCATCCCATGAAACCAAAGGTCTAGATCCTCCTACACTGACTGTCCAGAATTCCTTGTAGGGCTGGCCCCTCCCACTCCGCCCACCTCTGCCCTCCAATACTGCCCTGTCTGCTTGCTAGGTTGAACCCTACCAGCCTGCAGGCA